GTCAAAATAAAATCGTATAATAAATAAATGTACTGAAACTATAGGTCTCTACATGAAAAATTTAGAAAGACAATATGTAATGATTAAGGCATATTACAGCCTATTAAAGGTTTACAGTCTATGTAAATGTTACCATTATTAAACCTGAACATAATGTTGTATTTTAGTGACGCATGTATGTGTTATTAAATATGAAGACCAGATTGTGATCTTCCAGCCTGTCCCACGACAGCTGCTATTTCTGGAGTGTGTCTTCGCTGTAACATTGAATACTGCCTTATCATATGTTTACGTTTATAACAATTTTTAAAATATGCATAATAAATAGTGTTTGAGGAGGAATATATTCTTAGCAGATTGCTATATTATTATACACATGTTGAAATCCTGTGAACATTAGGTTTCTATGATCACATTGATATACTATCATAAATTATTAACTTGAAACTACAGATATGTCTTATCTCATATTTGTAAACAATCAGTTACATACAGTGAACAATCATGTGATCACAGGACAATACTTACTCTGAAGGTGACAATGGATTCTGAATTCCTGTGTTTCTTGAACTTTTGGTTGCAGGCATCCCTATGATTTTAAATAATTTCATTCAGTTTCCCCCCTTCTTTAGCCTCTGTTGCTTCCATTTTTATTTTCTTTAATGTGTTTTTTTCACTTTTCAGAAATATTCTCATCACATGTAGTATTGGGCTATGTAAGAATATTTCTAATGAGTATGTATGTACTTTGAGGATAATTCCCCTGCATCCATCCTCTCTCCTTTCTCCAAACTTCTTTCTTCTAATTGTCCACTTTGATCAGCTAGATAGCTTCACTCTTTTCTAATGTCATATGTACATACATGATTTCATGTATCTGTATGAAATGCAGGAACCATAGATGAGATTTAAGGTGATATTCATCAGTGTAAGCCTAGAAATTTGTTAAACAATAAGCTCCAGTTAATTGTGTGTATGTTTCTTTAAATGATATAATTTTGTACTTCTTTTCGGTTCTGCCTCTCATTAAGATACTTGTGACATGTTTATGGCTGATCAAGGATAAACTCATGTTCACCTTCTTCTTTTATATACCTCTTCAAAAAGTTAACCATGTAAGGCCACTCACACATTATTCAGAACTAAAAATTTAAAACTGTGAGGGAAAATGTGGTTGTTCATCATTCATTTAATAAAAAAAGGAGAGAAATAAAACAAAATATCAAATACTGCTGTCTTTTGATTCTTATAGATAAATAACAAGCAGTAACTAAAAATAAAGCAAGGTGATTAAATAATCATTACATTGCTGTAGTAGAATAGGAAATTATGCAAATAAAGTATGGTCAAGACTGTGAAGAAGATGAGTATTAATAGGAGAGAGGTGCTAAGTCTTAACTTTTCTAGAAATTCATTTCTGAGTCATCTTAATTAAAAGGGGAGTGTGATTAACTGGACTGTAAAGAACCACAAAACGAGCTGCAGATATCAGGATCATAACACCTCCAGCTGAACAGGAGCTTGAAATGCCCTGAGTTTTTGAGATTTCTTTCCCTACTTGCTTTGTTGTCTTTGGAACCATTAACAACAGTGAAGGATGAATTCATATTAATACTTTGGGTCTGAGGCTAGAAAATTTTTGTCTTTTGCATGACAAAAATATAATTGACTATTGCATTTCATTGCTATGGGATAGCATTTGTTCAGTGTGTACAAATACAATGAGAGGTGAAGTTGACATATCAGAAATAGTCAAACAGCAATGCCAGATCTCAGTAAGTCTCTCCACAAAAAACAGTGAAAATGTACAATGATAAAAACATTTGAAATCCTCTGCATTCCACATACACACATATTTCAAAGCCCATGGAAATGAAGAGAGTCTCTGGGCTTACAAGGCACAGTAGCAAGGTCACTTATTGAACAAAAATAATTTGCAGGTGAGGAGAGGTGAATTTGGCTAGAGAATCCTGAAAGGAAGAAATAAATGAGAAAATGTAATCGATAGATGAAGTGCAGGAGGTCAGTATCCAATGGCAATGCTGATTTTTTGTAGGAATTTGAAATGAAGAATATGTAAAAGCTCTCTTTTGAAGTGCATCTCTTCCAAGTATAATAGAAATTAAAACAGTGCAGAGAAAATATTTGAAACAATAAAGCCTCAATTTGCAACTCAACACTTTTACCTGAATATATTTTAGGATGTCCACTAAGGTTCAGATTCTAAGAGTTTTGATAATCTTGTTCAGTCATGTGAATTTGTGTCAGCAGTCATATAGCACGTTAAAAAAAAAAGAGGACCAAAGAAACAAGTCTATAACCTAATCCCATGTCCTGATTTGCATTTGATCTCTGAGCATCAAGATATTGTGTGATTCAAACAGGCTCATATTCTGTCATCAGCCGGTCTAGCCTCTTTGCCAGAGCCTATTAGCATTTAATAATGAAAAAAATTCTTTCTGTGAATTATTTGTTCACAAAAGGTATAATTTATGAAGCTTCAATACAGGAAATGATTGAAATTTGAAAGAGGTGCGTATCTGTTCTCAGTTGAAAAACATTTGTTTTTAAAACAATTGTTTAAAAAGCTAAGCATAGTGAAAATGCTGGCATAATTTTTGTCTTGGTTAGAGTTTTATTGCAGTGAAGAGGCACCATGACCCAGTAATTCTTTAAGGAAAAGATTTAATTGGGGTGTCTTGCTTACAGTCTCAGAGGTTCAGTCCGTTACCATCATGATCGGGAGCATGGTGATCTGCAGGCAATAATGGTGCTAGAGATAATAGTTTACATCTAGCAGGGTACAGAAAGTTGACGGACACACTGAGGGAAGCTTGAGCAAAAGAGATCTCTAAGCCCGCCCCCACAGTGACACACTTCCTCTAACAAGGCCACACCTCCTAACAGGGACACTCCCTTTGGGGGATCGTTTTCCTTCAAACCACCACATTTTTGTTCCTAAAGATGTATATATTCACTTGGTTCAGATTATTTCTATCATTGTTTTGGCAAAAAATCATTTTAAAAATTTGATTTCTACTTTAATGTTGGCTTTTTCTGGCATTAGAATCACTCCTGAGTAGTTAAAAAATTGACTATTATTTTGAAATTTTGCTAAACGTCAATCTGTTTGTTAACCATTGTATCCAAATTCTCAGCTCTGCAGCAACAACAACGGCAATAATGGAAGATTTGCTGAGGAAAACCCTGTATCTTCTTAGCCGCAGTTACAGCTGAAGCTGTGCAGAAACCTGAGAGCTAAGCTTTCAAAACCAGTGTTACAATACATATTCTTTTTAGGCATTATCTACTAGTATAAATCACACATATAATGTATAATATGAATACAGACATATTATATACACATATATGTGTGTGAGTACACACACATATGTATGTATATATAGTGTTTGTGGATATGTGCATATATAACAGAAAAATAATCTTAGTGGTTTTCCAAAACAATTTTCTTGATGTTGTCAAAACAAGACAGGTAGGATCTAGGGGCCTATCACTTTTGACAGTCATGATTCACTCTTCACAGATGAATTTATCAATGAACTCTATTCTGAGGCACTGTAATGACCATAAATATGATCACCACATCTCTCTGTGGTGAAGTGAAAATTATTTACAATACTGCTACCTTTGTTAAACATTTAAATATATTTTACAGGAAAATTACCTTGTAGAAAAGAACTATTTTAAAAATCTGAGATTTCTGGAAATAGCCGTAGTGATTAATTTTGAACTTGTATGAGAATGGCTACACCTGTGGCCTGACATACACTGATTTCTTTCATAAATTATTCATTTGCTAATATGCAGTATATAAGAACTGATAAATAAAGTTTGATGAATAATTTATTGTTTGTTGTTTGCTTTGAATATAGACAATTTACTTATATAGCATTTAATAAGCACACACACGTACACACATAATTATGATAAGCTGGTATCTTATTAGTTATTTCCAGTAATTGTATGTCCATGATGGTTCACAGCTAGAAAACAGTTCAAGCTTTTTTTAAAATCTATGTTAGAAGGTACGGGGATAGTTTCACAGGTTGGGATGTTACATTTTTCATTCAAGAATTTCTTTGATACCGAGAACTGCTGTTCTGGAAATGACACAGTTACTGATGTGCAGACAGGGTCAGTCTGATGTCTCACGTCCTCTACGCTCTGCAGCACAGTCCTCGGTGTGAGACATCACGCAAACATTTTGCGACATATATATTCAAGTGGAATCCCAGCATGAGGCAAGCTCCATTATTCAATAATGCAAAGGGAAAATAATAGGGTTCCTTGGGGTGAACATACACGCTGGAATATTTGAATACCATCTTTCCTCTCTGACTTCCAGTGTGACCCTAGCTGTTCTATTAACCCAATATTTTATATTACCATGTGTGAGAGGATTATCACTTGACTCAGCAGAAGTTAGAGACTTTCCATGAGATGACACACCAGAGGTGACTAGTTGATCCCCACTGTGTATTAACCTCAGCTTCCAGAAAAACAAGAAGCTTATAGTTGTACACATAGCCACTTAAGTAAATGACTGACATTATCTAATTTCTGTACAACAAGAAACATTAAGGTGATTAAGTTATGAAATGCTATATAATAAATGAGCAGAAGTTAAATACAGTTGATTTTTATGTCATTCCATTTGATAATTTCTATTTACTTTTGTTCAGATATTCTGACTAATGATAAGAATGACATATGAACTACATACTATCACTGTATTAGGCTCAATCCGTTTATTTTATAAATGCTATGGTATTTCTTTTCTTAAATTGGGAATACATGGTCAGAATTATAGTATCTTTTTGGTACCTTTTTCCTCCATATAATTAGTATGAAATGTCCTTTCTTTCTCCTCTGACTAGTTTTGTTCTGAAGTCCATTTTGTTGGCTATTAGAACCGGTATACCTGTTTGTTTCTTATTTCTATTTATTCACAGTAACATTTTATAATCCTGTACCCAAAGGTTGATTTTACAATTGATGGTGAGGCATGTTTCTTCAAGAAAGCAAAAGGGTGGGTCTAATATTTTACGCTAATTTTTTACTTTGTCACTTTTTACTGCTAAATTTTTGTCACAGACATTTAAAGATAATTTTGAACAGTATGTATTAATTATTTTTTACTATTTTGCTGTTGTGATATTTTCTATGGCTCTTATGAGTAAGTGTTCTGGAATTGTTTTGTTCCATCTCTAGCATTTTAAATATGCTTCTTAAGCTAAAGTACTCCTTCCAGTATCTTATATAGAGCAGGTTCATAGGTCCTAAATTCCTTATTTTCATTACAGATTTCCTTTTCTGAATTAAGCAGTTGCTTTCATTTCCACAGCTTTCTCTTTTGTTTCTATTCAAGTTCACCACATCACAGTGAAAATCAGACATTCTAACTTAATGTTTAAAAGTGCCCAGAGTTTTTATGTTTTTCTCTATAGTTTTTCTTAGTTTGTGTGAATTTAATCTGAAAGATAATAATATATTTATGTTGATTGGAAGAATTAAATTTATAAGTCTAGAAAATTGGACACAGTATACAGGACAAAATATGGTGGTCTTTATACATCTGTAAAGTCTAAATATATTTTCCTTCAAGGAATACTTTAAATAATATGCTCTTGCATATACTCAAATTACAATATGGAATTATTACTATACCTTACTTTCAGATCCCAAACACTTCACAAAGTATTCCATGGAATTATTGATGATTTTATATAATTTCTTAGGTGAATCATTTTCTGTTTTCTGCAGTGGGAAATAGATGGTTCAATACAGATTAAAATAAAATCTAAAAATTATTTTAAAGTTTCATTACATTAGAACTGGTAATAGTTAAGATATTAAATAACAACATAGTTACGTAAGTACACTTACTTTATTTGTAAATCGGATATGGTTTTAACAGAGTAATGCAACAAGTCTATAAAAATCTGAAGTTTATTTCAACTTTCCTAATAAAAAATTAATATGATTTTTGAAGGTAGAACTGCTTGAAACTTACAATATGAATTTATGCTTGTGAGTTCTCACTTAATTCTTGTTTTCTGTAGTATATAACCAGTTTTCATAACCCCAGTGCTTTTCAATATATAACATGTAAGACTTATGAAGAAAGCCTCATTGAATTATGTTTTAGTCCTCATGATATTCACAATGATATATGTGTCAGTTCTTTGAAAAACAGAAAGAAAAGTAGAGAACTGGTAAGCTAGAAAGTACAGAACAGAATACCACAAAGGTGCTTCTTCATGTACTCATTAATGACACTCGCACATGTTCCCTGAATTAGTTTTGTTATAATTTGCATCTTCAGTTTGAAGGGGTGAAAGTAAGCGTTGGTTGATTTTAATCAATTTTTAGCACTTAAAACACAAATAACTACGAATTTCTCTCTGGCCCTGTATTAAAAAGCTGTGTCTGTGTTCCTGGAGCGAAGTGTACTCAGCTAGTGAGCTGCTAGCAAAGATTTACTGTTTTCAAATATTGAGATGTGTGCTTTGATTTGAAAACTATTTTTAAATTAGCATAAAAAGTAATGGGCTGTGTTAAAATATGTTCACATACATGTCACTATACTTTATTCTCTTATTGCAGATTGCTAATATGATTATAGACATGTAGAATAGGGGATGGATGACTCTTTTTCTTTTCATTCACCCATGTTGCATGTCCTTTCATTTACAGCATGATTTTAAAGGTCTAGTGGGAGAAACGTTTATAAGAATATTTAAATTCCTCCTTTACTTTTTATATAATAAAGCACAAGCAAAACAGTTCATAGAAAAGAAGAAGTAAGAAACTGGGTTCACGTATGTGTGTATATGTGAGTGTGTGAGTGTATGTGTGTGTGTGTGTTTGTGCGTGTGTGTGTATGTATGTCTGTGTGTGTATGTATGTCTGTGTCTGTGTGTCTATGTGTATGTGGAGAGAACAAAGAGGTTACTAAGATGATGAAGTTTCAAAAGAGCAGTAAATACATGAGCAACCCATTTTTCTCTCTGCTAAAACAGACTTCTTTAATGGCTGTTGTGACTGGAAATGAGTCTTCAATTCAGTACTCCATGGCCATGGAACTGTGTCAAGTACATTGCCTCTGTAACTCTGAGCTAGCATATAAAAATAACATGCCCTCTTGGAGCTGAAATATGGAATATAAACTTAAGGCAAAGAGCATACTTTGCAATAGCATAGAGCAGCCTTCCTTTGCTGGAGAAATCTGTCAGCATTATTGTCTCTATCTCATTCCTCTCTTTTGGACATCTGAAGAAGTTGATTCTTATAATTTATTTTCAATTTGGAAATTAGAAGTAACAACACTTTGAACTCAAGTTTTTCAGTCACTATAAGATTCTGTTATAAAAATTACTTTATGTGCCATTTTTAGTTTATTAACTGTGTCTACATGCTGCATGTGGTAAGAGAAGCCATACTAACATTAGTCCTTCATTTAAGTGTCCAAATACATCTTATAGTATAGGTTCAGTGCACATATGAACAATATATCAGAAGAAGGCTTTTCTATTTTTAGCATGATGCTTGGAGGGAACTCCTCACTTCCCTTATTGCCACAAGGTAAAAACAAAAGCATTCACACAATACACTTCAATGTTCTATGAGGAAATGGCTGGAATAGGAAGGAAACTTCTGCTATAGTTAGGAACACACACACACACATACACAAACACTAAAACAACAAAAAGAACAAGGGAAAAGTCATACATTTATAAGAAGGTAAGGGTTGGTAGACTCATGGGAGCATTTGTTGGGCAGAAAGAGGAGAGAAATGATACATTTAAGATATAAACTATTCATTAAAATGTACTTGTATAAACAAAGAATTTTTTGTTAGCCCTAGGCTCTTCTACACATAACAAATAGTTACTACTTGCTGACAAAAAGCTTCTGTAATCTTTAAGGGTAGAATACGGAACAGATTCACAGATAATACAACTAGAGGATTTCAGTCTGAGCACTTGTAAATAATTTAGTATGAAGATTATAATAATTTCATTAATTAAATATAGAAACACACCCCAAGAGTTATACTATATGCAATAAGAGGAATAAAGCACTTGATAGATATGAAAATCAAAACTGTTTATATACCTAGCACAATTGACTACAAGCATTTGGAGTAACAAATAAGAAAAGTATAAGAAAAATTAAAATGCAGAAGACCACATGATTCAATATGGAACTGTGATACATTCTTCTAAGAGGTGTAAATATAAACCATATTGGTGTGTGTGTGTGTGTGTGTGTGTGTGTGTGTGTGTGTGTGTGTGTGGGTGTGGGTGTGGCCTTAAAGCTTTGATATAGTGTTTATAGAAGTTTGGATATTTCTTTGCAGAACTATGTGCATATAGCCTGTAACTATAGCATTAAAGACAATGAATTATCCCCCACCCCTCACCACCACTAATCTATATAGAAGTCTTTAAGGATGGTGTAGATGCTGGAGTCCCTTCTTCTTCTAGGACAGGTGTTGCATTGGGTCAAACACACCCCCCAAAACTATAAAATCTGAAGGGGATCTAGTTGAGAATAGAAAGGAATTGATGAGAGATACAGAACCATGAAAGTAAGAGAGTGAATATTGAAATAATATATTATACACATGAATGAAAATCTCAAAATGATGTGGGATGTCCTTCTGTGTATGTGTTACTTTTGTTGGTTAGGAAATAAAGCTGGTTTTGTTGATGGCAAGAAAAAATATAACCAGGCTGAAAGAGATATAAAGAGAGAGTAGGGTGAGTCAAGGGGGACTCTATATAGCTGCTGAAGCTGGAACTTTACCAGTAGGCAACAACCTCATAGTGATAAATAGATTAATAGAAATGTGTTAATTTAAGATATAAAAGCTAGCTAAAAACATGCTTAAGAAATCGACCAACCAGTCTGGTAATTAATATAGTTTCTGTATGATTATTTGGGTCTGAAAGAACAATCTCCACTAACCTCACAATACGCCTATTATTATATATAGTGTTTTGTGTCATTGAAAAATATTAAAGTCTTATTCATACAACCAATGATCCCAAAACAGTATAAGCACTCTATAAATAACATTGACTCTGAAAAAGTACTGTAATTTCTCCTTACATATTTGAAAATACATAATAATCACAAAACTGAGGGTATTTGGTCTTAAAATAAACCAATCTTTTTAAATTATCAGTATTATGTGTAGCATAATATGAATAATAGTATAATGTATAATTTGGATAACATAGCCATCACTATCCAAAACTTAATTTTTTCTCACATCTGGAGTAAAGAAAGATAGCTTGACTGACTATTCTTCAAATAAAGGTAGTGATTGGAAGCCTCACTCCCAGCCCCTGACATTCATTCCTGGGGCCCAATGGTGTATCAAAGGAGCAGAAAACTCCTTCTCAAGCCCCTCCCGCTGGGAGTCGCCTTGGTCCAGACACAATCTCCGGAAAAACCAGTTAAGCTCTGACCCCTCCCCAACGAGTTAGGCTGCCACCGAGAAAAAGAACACGTGATCTTTCGGTTTTGTGTCCCGGCGTGGTCCCGGGTACACCCCCTCTCCCCCCGCGTCACCCAGGAGCAATGCAGTAAACACAGACATTGATTTGGTCTAACTTGGTCTGATTGGAATTATTTGTGTCAGCGGAAGGGCTTAGTTTTCCTAACAGGTAGGAAATTAATGAAATATTTAATCTTAAACAGAGCTGATGTCCAGAACAAGGGTATCTTCCCAGTCTGGAGTCAAGGAATACCACACAGTCACATGATGCAACAAACCTCACCCAAGAGATTGATTGGAGAGAAGAGAATAGTGGCTGCCTCTTAACCGGAAAAGAGACAACAGCGAAATGTGCAGAGATGAGGGCTTGTATTTGCTATTTGGAGCAACTACAGTGAGCTAGTGGAAAAGTACAGAACCTTCAAGCATTGCTTTGCTGAATGCTGAGTCACAATGGCTAGGATTTCCAAGTCTTTGAGATTGAAGGCCAGCCAAAGGCATGCTGATTTCCCACTGGCCCT